GCGGGCAGAGATACTCCGGGATGCTCTTTTGGCACGACACCAAGCGACGGACGACCTACCGCCACTCGATGCGCCGAGTACCGACCGAATCCCCTGGAACGACCATGTCACGGACGAGGAGATTCGCATGTGCACCGTAGGCTGCGCCAACACAGCGCCTGGAGCAGACGGGATCTCTGTGGAGCTTCTGCGAACATGTTGGAAGACGATTGGACCATTTGTCGGCACTCTCTTCCGCGCCTGCATCAGACTCGGCACCCACCTATCCTGCTTCAAGCTGGCTGAAGTGGTGCTCCTACGTAAGACGAACCGAGATCCAACGACTGTCAAGGGCTGGAGACCAATCGCACTTCTGTAATGCTTGGGTAAGGGATTGGAACGACTCTTGGCGAAGCGGATGGCCCATCTCGCGGTTACGCTCAACGTTGTCGGAGACCAACAATTCGGCGCGCTCCCCAAAAGATCTGCAAACGACCTCGTCAACTGCGTAGTCCACGACATCGAAGAGGCAAGCACCCAGGGATGGGCGGCCACATTCACAACTCTAGACGTCCAAGGAGCGTTCGATGCAGTACTCCACAATCGTTTGGTGAGGAGGATGCAAGAGCAGGAGTGGCCAGACTCGATTCTTCGATGGACGGCTTCATTTCTTGCACATCGAAAGGTACAAGTCCGATACTCCGGAGGGGTTACTGGGCAGAGAAAGCTAGTTTGTGGGTTTCCGCAGGGATCACCGATATCTCCACTTCTCTTCCTTTTATACATGGCAGAGCCTATGCGAAGCGGCAACCCAGGAATGAGGTTCAGCTACGCAGACGATGTCGGGATCCTAGGGTTCGGGCGCAGCATTGCTGAGTCGGCCGCTTCTGTACAGAAGGAAGTCGATCATCTTCTGGAGTGGGCAAGTAACAATGCAGTCTCCTTCGATACTAACAAGTCGGAGATAGTCCAGTTTCCCGGCAGGAAACGCGAGAATCCGGTGGCTATGCGTGTGAACGGCGTGACTATCGAGCCAGCAGACCAAATACGCTGGCTTGGAATACACCTAGACCCCCGACTGGACTTCAAACACCACGTCACAACTTGGTGTGTAAAGGCATTGAAGGTTGCCCAGCACATGCGCCGTTTCAACTCAGCGTATCGAGGAGCCGCTCCTGCGGCACTGGTTCGAGCAGTGGATACTTGTATTGTCCCAATAGCAACTTTTGGATCAGATGTTTGGTGGCCCGGCCTCAAACGTCCGACCAATAGGGGAATCATCACACCTCGAACCAGCATCTTCTGCGAGATGATCGACAAGGCAATCTTGATAGGACTGCGCGCGGCCCTTCCGGTAATGAGAGCGACATCGAATCTTGTTCTCCATTGCGAAGGAGGTATCCCAACTGGAAAGATCATTCTGGAAGGGAACCGCTAACGGTTTTCGGCTCGACTGCACTCACTAGACAACCGACATCCGCTCCGGACTCGTGCCGCCGTGTGTCCAAACGTTGGAACACGGAAGTACAAGAAGTCTGCTCGGGTACCCAAGAATCCGGGGATCCAGATGTCACGAGTACAGCGAGCCTACCGACAACTCCCGGACGCGGAAGACGCCGAGCCTCTGCCGCCGCCATGCTATTTTTCGAGCTCTGGCCCAAGGAAAGAGGAGGAGGAAAAGGCTACTCGGTTCCTTGAAGATGTACTAGCATCGGATATTTGTGCTTACCCGGATGGATTGTCGGAGGGACATGGTCGCTCAGCATGGGGGTTCGTCTTGAAGAGAGATGGAAAAACTCTGTTGAAGGGATGTGGTATCAAGCATGGTGGTGAAGTGCTCGATGCGGAAATTGTAGGGGCGAGGAAGGCCCTGGAAGCTGCGCTGTGATTGTTGAAGAGGGAGAACAGTGGAATTGACAGCAGGCGACGGATCAACGTGTTGTCGGATAGTTAGTCTGCAGTGAAGGCACTGCTGACGGGAACTGCCACAACAAGTTTCGACGACGTGCGCCAATTTAGAGCGTTATCAGAAAAGGCTCGAGTCTCGATTCAGTGGATACCAGCTCACTCCGGGATATAGGGAAACAAAGAGGCCGATAGAGCTACACGCTCCGGCCTCCGACAACTGCCAAGTAAAGAGAGCCAGCCTGGCTCCGTCACGTTGGCGTACGTTCGTCGGTTCATGGACCGGAACAGGCAAACGCTTCTTGATGACTGGTGTGAAGAAGCATGTCCACCTAGATATCGTAACCTGGGCCTTCTCATGCGACAAAGCAAGCCACGCGAGCTGGCACTTTCCCGGCGGCTACTTCGTAAACTGATCTTAGCCCGTACGGGACACGGAAACTTCGCTGCATGCCATCGTCGTTTCAATAACTTCGCCGCTTCAATGGAGTGTGCGTGTGGGGAGGAAACATCGCCTCTCCACTTCATTCACTGTCGACTGCACGCACGCCAGACGCGTCGACTACGAGGTACAATGTCACATCACGACTTTGTCCACAAGCTTCTCGGGCCTAAGTGTCTCGAGAACTTTACAAAATTTGCGCAGGAAACCGGCTGCTTCGGGTGCCCACCTGCGACTCCGTCTCCAGCTCTCAGCGGAGAGGACATTAATTAGGACATAACACGAAGCATGTCAGGGAGGAAAACGAGACGAGAAGTGTCGTTTTCCCACCTCAAATTGGAGTATTGCATTTCGAATTTTTTGTTAAAGGAAATTTATGGGTGTTTTTATTTTTATTTTTAACTTGCTACTGGTTGTGTAGTGGTTCACGCAGTGAGACCGAGTTGGGCATGTGGGAAGCATGATCTCGGCCGTGTACGCCGGTCCTTGACTCCTAGGAGATATAGAGCTTAGCTTAGGACCAAAAAAAAACCTTAGGGTCTCGTGTTGGCCAGCTCAGTCTACATAAACTACCCGACGTGCCGATACCTTTAAATAAGCCCGGCATGTTGTAAATTGGTCAAGGCCTGCCTGCCATGCACCCAGAACTATCGAAAGAAGTCAAAAGTACTCTCCAGTTGAGACTTTTGTATTCTAATACAGTAGAGAAGATAGTTATATATATGAAAGGGAAAGTTATCCATCACCTAGACCAGAAGTCTTCTAAATTTAGCTCTATCAAATACAGGCCGAATGCATATAATTTGGGGTACTAGTTAGTCTTGTTGTTGCATGCTTCAAAAAAGCTCGTTTCATGAAGCCATTTACTAAAAGCTATGGCTCCTTCAGGTGAGCCTAGGATCCAGCGAATTCCCGTCGTTGGGTGTTTGTTTCCGCTGCAAAGGCGGGACCGACTCCGATTGAGTCGGCAAAAGAAGAAGTGCTCGGGCGACTTTTCTAGCCCGCAGGCGCAGATTAGAAGAGCGTCCGAGTGCTGAAAGCGGCGGTGGTAGTCAGCAAAGTCTCCATGGCCTGAGCGAGCTGCAAGAAGGCGACCAACAGCGTAACGGTTAAGGCTCCTGAGTTCACGGGAGCTCCCAATATTGGCGTTAATTCCCAGTTTTTGAGGCTTTCAGTTACCTGACACTATGTAAGGAAGTATGCTAGTGATCACGCTAGTTTGTGGAAAGACTCAAGTTTGTTGATCTGCCAAAAATTGGTCTGAATCTTTCTACTTAAAATCTCAATAAATTCTCACGTTTTGTAGATTCAAATGCTATATTCCAACTGCGCTCAATATAGTAGAAGGCCTAGAGGAACTAGTGCTTTTGATGTACTTCAAAATCGGAATACCCGGCATGAAGGCCATTATTATTAATGCCATGAAGTTGAAACCTCAGGCCGCTACTAGATAGGCCATCAGCGGATACTGGGAATGGATGGGTATTCTATTAGAAATTAGCTTGATCTACTTTCTAACGTAACTTATATCAGATTTAAGTTTGGTCAGCTTCTACTTGTGAGATTTAGCGCTGGATGACTCGGAGAGAATATCCGCGAGATCTTTAGTCCTCCAGCTTTGCACTCCTTACCCTTAGTCACTCTAAATTTTTAGTTTTATTTGCAGAAACAATTCGAGTAAATCTTCTAATACATCCATAATCTCGAACATGGCGATCTTAGTCTATCCGGACACCTCGCCGTCACATTAATCCAGTTAGCACATATCAGGATCTTAAGTGAGTCGGCACGTCAGGCAGTGTATCTAGTATGATCTAACCGGTGCTTGACCTTATGGAAACGAGCTATACGCTGGTACGATGTAAACTTATTTAAAAATAAAAAGAAGGATTCACTAGTAAACATGTTCTACGCTAGACCGAGTCACATGTGATTATATTGAGACTTATTGTCTGTCTAATTGATCATAGATTTTCAATCCAACTATATAATAAATATTTCTTATCCGAAGCACGAAAGTAATGTAAAACAAAGATAATGAGGGTGAAGCTCCTTCAGATTTTCTGTTGATTCTATTCTCATGCTTGCTCAAAAAAAAATCATTAAGATTATGTTGAAGCTTCCATTTTCTTATGAAATTTTTCAATAGCCAAGGTGATCGCGTGAAGGGACACAACTGCATTGTTTACTTCTGTATAGGATACGAGTACAAGACCATTCATGAAGCAGAGTTGTGATGAATTGCTTTGGACCCATCGATACATCATAGCTTTACTTTTTGAGATGATAACTGGTTTACTCAGTTTTACCAAAAGTGTTTCTGGGATGTAACTATATTTGAGTAAGGTTTGTGTCTGACAAAATTTGCCTAATTAAATGAAAATTTGGGTCAGAGGTGAAGAAACTCAGTCTTTCCTGCCGAAGCAAGGGTTTCAAATGCTCAGGCGTCCATCGATGAGATTAGTAGTCTGAGTTCGTTCCAAAGTTTTTGATGCAGTGAGTTTGTGACTATATATTTTACCTTGTCTTGTATGAGAAAAGTATCAATTGTCGGAAACCATGATACCATGGAGCTCTTTTGAGGCTGCGAGATAGTTTTTCGTTTTTCTTGTCTACCAAAGAAATCATTACTACGTTAGTTTTAGAATGATTAATGAACGTACCAAAAGTTTTATTATTCTCCTTCTCCACCAAATCTCCATCCTTCGAAATCATCGGCGAATTTTATTGCTGCAGCAAGGTAATTTTGATTTGGGTCCCCCCAAGTTGTCGCGGCCTCCTTTATTGCTCTTATAGCTGCGTTGAATTAGTACTTTTCATAACTTAGACCATGGTAATACGAACTTTTGACATAGTGTGCATCCGTTGACCAAACTCCAGTCAGCGCTTTTTGTTCCACATGTGACCAACTCTTTTCAATAGTTGGAATTTCTGTACTTGCGTTTATTTCACGCCGTAATTGCATTATATATACAGATATTGTCATCAGCCACCACTGTCTTAAGAGATTTACATGGAAACTTTCAGGAATTAGAGGAAGCAGAACTCTTATAGCGTGTGTAGTGGTGAGTACATGTGCTATGTAGAAATCATATGTGTGTACGCCAGGATGGAGCGTTTGCATTAGTAAAGCGATTGCAATATCTTGAGAGCTCTGTAGCTGCTCCACAACATTTTCTATAGACCAAGAGTTCCAGTGCTCTAATATGATATCTTCACATTTAGTGAAGAGGATATCAAAATTGGAGAAGCCACTAGTATTAATTAGATCATCAAGGCGATTATCTTGGCGAATATTATTTAATAGTTTAAGGAGGCATTTGCTGCTGTTGGTTGATGGTTTCGTATATGAAGGGTCATCTATATATTTATGGAGAAAGTCGTATGAGACGCTTGCTTCTGCAAGGGCTTCTATGGCAAGCTCTTTACAGGAGAGCTCATAGGCATATCCAAGATGTATGAGAGAGTGCCCGACTATTATTTTCATAACGTCAGTACGTCTAGAGCGGAAAATTCCATGAAAATATTAGAAATAAAGAAATGAACATTTAACACTCACGGCCTGCGATCACCCCGTTAATCAAAGGCTTTTTTTCACAAAACATATACTCATCGACAAGGTTTTTCCAGTCATAGTCAAATTTTAGAGCTAGCTCGTCTTCATAAAAATCAATAAATGCTCTTTGATATCTCTTATCGCCTAGAAATTCGCGCCAATCTGTTGTAGTGATTTCACATGGGGATTCCTCCCAAGGTACTAGTAATTTTGCTTCCTCGTCATAAATTTTCTGTAATTGATTAACGCCTGCGCCTAAAATGTAAGATGAGCCGAGGATGTGGGACATATGATTGTGGTATTTAAGTTCATTAAAAAACAGTGCATGATTTATATGGTTGGCTCGAATTAGATGCCTGAGAGTTCTTATTCTTTTCTCAGAGCCTATCTCTGTTTCGTGAATCGGCACTGATGGTAAAGTGTTTGGTTTTGTAGAGAAATTGCTGATCTTTAGATTTCTGTACATATTTATAAAGGCAGGGGCCCATCCTATCATAGGTGAAGACATTTTCTGATGCAGAAAATCTAGGAAACTGGTGAAAATTGTGGGATGTGCAATCAATTATTGATACAGCCTCGGGGTTGACTAGAACAAAGTCGTCACAATCATGACTCTGGTAGCACTCCACACGAACGTGGGCGATGTTTCAATGATGTCAGGCATTCCTAATTTAGATTAGCGGTGAAACCGAATAATCATGGTGGATATGACGGGATACAGAATCATCATACGCACGGGGATGACGAAGGCTGAACACCTGTCAGTGGTGTCCTCTACGAACCTGGGAGTGAAATATTCTCCCAGAGCCGAGATTCAGTCACGAAAAAGGGTGCGATGAATTTTAATTGATGGATCTTCGACTTGAAGGAGTTGCACTCGATATTTTGGTCGAAAAATCAGTCGGCAGAGATTTCACAGCCGGAACAACGTCGAACAAAAAGTCATCACCACCAACATACGATTCACAAATGGGCCTAGGTCTATCTGGGGGTCGTATTCAAACATCCGACATCTCTTAAACTTCTTTTATACTTGCGACGAAGCATTTCTCAATCGATCCTACACCTGCGACCTACCTCCATACCCGTCCGATCACCTACCTACACACGCCCTAATGAGGAAAGTCATGATGGAAACGGGACGTGTACAAAGGAGGAAGAAGAGGGAAGATACACCGAGGGGATTACACAAATCCCTAATGACGAAAACAACCCAATGGTACGATATGAAGATGCAAGGCTAGAGCAACGAGGAGATCTTGGACGGCATTTTATATTACGGAGTCAATGAGGATGTCAAGGGCTCGGGCGCGTGGTGGCCGAGGCTGAGGAGGAAATCGCGCTACGGCGTGTATACAGCGGGTTTCTGGACGTTTAGGCTTGGTATGATTCAACACATAGGTGAAGTCTGAGGTGGTCCGGTCATTAAAGTGGGACGAGGTTTATCTGTACTTCACGGTAGTTAACCTGATCCGGCCCAACCCCACACGTGCTTAAGCTCCAATAGGAGTGCAACGGTAGCCATGTAACCTAGCACGTTAATGAACAAAACAAAACAAACCATACGCACGGAGCCGCAGTCTGGATAAGGTATCGATTGGCCTAATCAGTATCTACAGTTGAGTATTTGAATTTGATTTCAATTAACCCGATCAGGCACCCTATGACTCCATGCAGGTGACTATCTGCATTATTTACAAAGGAGGAAACCAATTTGGTGGAAACCCCCTGATCCTGTCTTTTTATGTTCCTATCAATATATTTGGTTTATCTTCAGGAAGTGCAGTGTACACTGTTCAGCCCGTGTGGATTCCGTCCTCTCCCCTTCCAGATCTATTTACTTTATCTGACATTGCTACCTCGACTTCCCCTGCAAGTCGAAACTGTTTTATCCACCCTTTGTTTAGTATCCACTGTGTAATTCTAGCCATATCTTCTGGGCTGGTCATCATTGCTTCAAATGACCTGTCTCTAGCTTGTCGGAGAAAGCCACATCTCCAATTTGCCCACTGCGGACACGCCAACACCATATGCTTGAATTTTTGCGACGGATATCCACATTAACAGCTTGGCTTTTCTGCTCTGGGTACTTTTCTTCTGCTCAGGCAAGAATTGAGTCCGATATGCTCGCTCCTTAGCTGAATGGCGACACTGCTTTGGGCCCTGGTTAGGTTACAGTGGATTCTTAAGGGTGTATCTTTGAAGTTCATTTTGGCGCTGCCTGTTTGTTCATTAGTAAACATATTTGCCGCTATAAGTATCCACAGTTATAATATACACAAAAGAATGATGTAGTTCGATAGAGACCACCCAGTCTCGCTTTTCTTACGTTTCCCGACTTTCTCTGGATTCCTTTAAGAAATATGGCTTCACAGTTTATCTTATTAGATTCCTATTCTATCACTTTCTTTAAATATGTATCTCTCATGAATTGCTATCTTGAATTCTATAGATCGAAATTGGTAAAGCTGGCCTTGGTGTTAGGATTTTTTGTTTGTTTGTTTGAAAATGAAATTGACATCATTATCCTGATTTGGCGCCTTGTAGGCCCATGCATGTCTCTAGAATAGAGTGTAATTTTAGTCCCTACTGAGTCTATGACTATGAAGGACTGTTAAAATTATGAAAAGCTCTATGTTTTGATATAAAAAATTTTGTTGGTAATTTCAATGTTTGTCAATAGATATTGAGGGTCATGCCCCATGCAGGTCTCAACAATCTATAATATTTACACGGAAGGAAACTTTTATGGTGAAAATCCCCCAAACCTTTCAGCTTGTTGTCTTCAGTCTTCAGATATTTTCATCCGGAGGCGCAGTTACACAATATTGCCATCCATGTAAAACAACCAGATCATCTCTAACTGCCTAAGCATTATTTGACTTGTTCCAATATTTCAGCAGCATTTCGAGCGCTTTTGTCATTTGTAATTGCTCTATCCAACCATGATTTAGGATCCACTATGTTACCCTTTTGGTGTCTCCAGGACTGTTTATCATCACTTCATAGGACCGATCTTTGGCTTGTCTCCAGATCTCAGCTCTACCATTTAACTATCAGGGACGGGACATAAACATATGCTTAGGGTTCTGTGACTGGTAGCCACATGGACAACCTGGACTTAATACTTTGATTGCTTTTCTTCAGTGTAAATATGAGTTGAGCCCCATATCCTCACTTCGTGTTTGCATCGTCAAACTGCTTCGGGCCCTAGTCAGGTTACTTTTTTCTTGGATCAAATGGTCCATAACTAACCTGTGCTCACTACAGATGCAGGACCGGTGCATTATTTTTTTAATAATTCATCTTATTTTCTGTTTTGAGTCTACGACTATATAGGTAATCCAACTCCTCTCTACCTACAGGCCAAGGATACCTATACCAGTGGTATATCCCATCCTATGCCTCCCGTACAGCTCCTCTCAGACACTACAACCCCTCACAAGCCCTCATTCGACCATACACTCAAAGGAGTCCTTTGCCCTTCATTATCTCCCCTCTCTAGCCAACGAAACGATGGCCATTTGCGGGTCTTGTCTTGTTCATTTGTGTGCTAAGTAAAGTGATTCCCTTTGCACTCCTACTGGAGCTTAGGCACGGGTGGGGCCGGGCTGGATCAGGTTAACTATCACTAATTACATCTACCTCGTCCCACCTCAGACTTCACCCATGTATTGAATCATATCAAGCCCAACCGTCCAGAGAACCCTCTTTTGGCGCGCCGAAGCGCAAATTCCGCCTCAGCCTCGGCCACCACGCGCCCGAGTCCTTGACACCTCCGCGATCTGTAACTTTTCCCTTCGATTCATTCCCAGCTTTGACTCACCTCAGCATCTCCTCATCTCATCTAGGGGTTGTTTTCTTCATTGGAGGCCTCATCCAGTCGCCCACCAAGGCCTCCTCAGTTTGTATCCCCTTTTAGTTTCTTCATACAGCATCCCTCTGTCCTTCAGCCGATCTCATCATCCCAAAAACTTTGTAGAATGTCCACCCCTCCGGCCTTGCCCCGTCGCTGCCGTACCTCTAACCGTGTAGGTTGAAAACGCGACTGAGAGCTCAAGATCAAGGTACCGGTGCCCCAGTTTTTGTCGAACGCTCTAGTTAATGTGCCGGCGAAATGTCGTACGTAATTCGTCGGTGGCGATTCGTCGTAGGTCGAGTTAATGGTGCCCTTGGCCGAGATGAGGACGCATTGAAGGCCGGTATTTCGACCGTACCTTCACAGCGGCTGGCAGTTGCGGATGGTCGGAAATCTTCTTGCTTCTTAGTTGGCGATTTGGCTTTTGGAGGTATGGGATCGCTTTGGTAGGTGGTGAGATAATTGTTGAGAGGGCCGCTAGATGAGTTTGGCTAGGAGTGATTTTCCAGAGAAATAGAAAATAAGATGTTGAAGGTGTCGGTTTTTGTAATACGAACATCAGCCAGGTTGTAGGCTGTCTGCGGTTCGTATCTGGGGTGTAGGTGGTTGATTTCGTTGGGTTGTGCAGTCGTGAAATCTCTGCAGGTCGGATTTTCGACCAAAAATGAGCCAGCTACACTCCTTCCGATCGCAAACTCGACGAAAACTCTCGAATTCAGCCTTTGTCGTGACTGAATCTCGGCTCTGGAAGAATATTTCACTCCCAGGTTCGTAGTGGTCACCTCTTGCAGGTGTTCACCCTTCGTCCTTCGTCATTAATGTTAAGAGCAAGCCGCAGTGAATTCCACATCATAATAAGGTCAGCCTTGCGCTAGTACTAGTAAGGGCTTAATGTTTTGAGGAACTACCATGATATACTCTACATTTTGACAAGTACCAAGTCAATGCCTATCCTCAGGAGAGAGCTTTTCAAATATCATGGACTCGTAGCGATAATTACTTCGATCTGCAAAAAGCTACTCACTTTCTGAACGATGGAACCTCTCTGATGCGATTGGTAACACGGATAAATTCATCAGCCTCGCAAAGTGAACTATCGCGTTCTAAAATTCGGTCAAGGTCGCGTCTTTGAAAAATATTTAAACTAACACCATGTCATCACTCTTTGGAAACACCAATAATAATAATACAAATACAGGAAGCAGCGGTTTATTTGGTACAAACAGCAATGCCCTCCCGCAATCCTCATTATTCTCAAACTCAGCCACGTCTCAACCTGCCAGTTCGGTCTTTAAATTTCCATCTCTAAGCACAACACAACAACAGAAACCAAGTCTTTTCACCCCCTCATCCCAGCAAGCTTCTGCGCAATCAACCTCATCCGATCTGTTTGGATCCCAAATTAAAAATGCCCCATCAACTCTTGCCCCTACCTCGAATTTATTTAATTCTTCAACCTTACCTGCAAACAACACACAACCTCTTCTCAACAATTCTACAGTAATAAGTGGTGGCTTAAATGCTCCTAACCAGACTCAGAACACTGCCTATTTTGACTCAATCCTTGACAAAAGTCGGAAGCGTACATATGTCGAGCCTTCCTCCGATGACCTTCCGCAGCTCCAGCTTGGATTGGGTGACCTCAGACAGCGTATCAAGCGACTAGGCACAGGTATTGAACCGAACCGAAGCGCTGAAGCACATTATCTACTCGCTGCTTCTGGAATAAAACCTGGTGAGGCCATTCGTGATCTCAATAACTTTGCATCTGCGACGGGATATAATCAACGATCGCAACCCTCAGCACAGCCAGATACGGATATAGAGACTTATTTAATGAACTTGCAGACGCAGACGACTCTGAGTATGATCCAGGATGGGCTCGCTAGGTCAGTCAGAGACTTTAATAATTTTCTTGAAGATAATGTAACTATGGAATGGAATATGCAAAAGAAGAGAATATTTGAGCACTTCGGAATTAGACAAAAAGAAGACACAATTCCTGACGAAAGCATCGGCGGAAAAGGGGGGTCACAGGGAACATTTGTGCAATCGAGGAGAAATAAACCTACTGGTTTGGCCGGGTCTCAGATTCGTGGCGGAGATAGTGTTTTTGGTCGAAAAAGTATGTTTGAGTCGGTAATAGGTACCGCTGGTCCTGTAGGAAGTGGGCATCGACCTGTATTCCAAGATGTAGAGAAGCAAATGGAGGCCAACAATATCGTGCCTCTAGCGCCACACGATCGCTTAAAACGAGATAAGCAGATAAGGTACGCCGAAAAGGTGACGGATCTCAATATCGCTAGGATTCAGAAATACCCTTACCCTCTATGCACCGAATTTATCAGTGTGGTCGAAGCATCATCAGAAAATCATGGGCCAGACCTAATTAAGGCATACAAGGCTTTGATTGAAATAGCTGGTGAAAATCCGTCTGTCAAATCTCTCGGCGATCCAAGAGCAGTAGGAGAAAGACATTTTTCTACCACATATCTCGAAGAGTCCAGCACAAAGCAGAAAATTCTCTTGAAGAAAAAAATTATTCGGGGCGGCTCAAGATGTCTGGAAAAACTAGCTTTTAAACTTATGGAAGAAACCATCACAAAGAATCCCCGAGAAGCAAGTCTTGGCGGGATTCCAGATGTTATCAACAAAGTCAAGGCTTATGTCAGGTTACAAGCATCACGTAAGAATTTGGCCGGAGATAACACTGACCTACAGATGCTCGGTGATGATTATGTATGGGCCCTCATATACTCTCTCTTACGAACCGGACATATAAAAGAGGCCGACCAATATGTCAAATCAAATGTAGCAGCTTTTCGAGCAATTGACCGAAATTTCGCTTCTTATATTCACGCATATGCCTCTGATCCTGATCGGAGGCTTCCGAGCGACTTGCAAATACGTATCAATGGTGAGTACAACCAAAGGCTTCGGATCGCTCCAGGAAATTCGATCGATCCCTACAGGATGGTGTGCTACAAGATTGTTGGCCGGTGTGACCTGAAACAACGTCATCTTGAAAATATTCCACAATCTGTTGAAGACTTTGCTTGGGTTCAAGTTGTTCTTGCGCGAGAAATTAATCGGGTTGATGCCGTAGCTAGTGAGATATACGGCCTAGCTGAAGCTCAAAATATGGTCAAGGAAATAGGACATCGTTTTTTTTCAAAAGGTGGCGCGGAGATAGGAAGTTCTTTTGGTGCATTTGTTTTCCTTCAGATTGCTGTTGGATTGTTTGAAGAAGCAGTCTCTTATCTATACTCATATAACTATGTTGATGGCGTTCATCTTGCCATTGCCCTGGAATTCTACGGACTACTCAGAGCTGCAGATCCTTCTACTTCAGAAGCCAACTTATTGAGCTTGACTATTCGAAACCAGGCGCAAATAAGCTTTGGTCCGATGTTGGCCCTCTACACTCGAGACTTTAGAACAGCAAACGTTTCAGCTGCGGTAGACTATATTGTCCTAATGTGCCTAAATAAAGATATTCCTGGTGGTAATGGTCGCAACCAACTCGCTCTCTGTCATGAAGCCCTGCGAGAACTAATTCTAGAAAGTAGAGAATTTGCAAATCTTCTTGGCGACATGCGCAGCGATGGACAGCGGGTAAAAGGAATTATCGAGGAACGAACTGAGCTCATAGATCTAGAGGAAGCTGGCGATTTTTTCCGTACAATAACTTTACAGGCTGCAAGTCAAGCTGACGATAATGGACGCGTAACCGATGCTATTCTACTCTATCATCTTGCTGAGGAATATGATAGCGTGATAAGCACACTGAATCGTGCCCTCGCCCAGGCTGTTAGTACACCTCTCGGTCAAACTTATGAACGACTTGATCCCGTTAAACAGCGCACCAACTTGCCTGAAGAATCTTCACAGCCAATTTCCACCTTCAGCCTATCTGCAAGCGATGACCCCATGGAAATGGCCAGAACGATCCTTGTAATATATGGTGCCAACAGAATGTTTATTGAGATGGTGAAGCCTGTGAATATCGAGGCATGTGGGAAACTACAAATGATACAAAAGGCTAAGAATTGTGTTGAAAACGAGCAATGGAGTCTGGCCCTTGACGTAAGTATTTATTTACTCATCCAAAATATAGAGATTTTTAACGTGGTATATAGATAATGAATGACTTGGCCATCATTCCTCTATCAGCAAATGGCGATGCGAACGCCATCCGTGCCCTAGCGAATGCCTTTACATCTCTTGCTCAACCACTAGCAGCGACTGTTCCGCATCTTCTCATGTGGAGTATTTTATGCAGCAATAAACAAAGAGAAATTTTAGCTGCCAGTCTTTACGGCGGGAATGAGGGCACTAGATTGCAAATGGTGGAGCAAATGAGACAAATTAACATGGATCTAATGACATTTGTCGGCCAGTTGAGGTATCGCCTCCCAGCTAGTTTGCATGAGGCATTAGCAAGATCGCAGGGGATATAGTGTGGATAAAAATTATAGGTTTTGGGAAAAGTTTAGTCTAGACCTTAAGGTCTTATTTGGATTGCAAAAGAACTTTTAGATGTCACAATTCGGCCGCCTTGATTGCGAATTCCTCTTTTGAAATGCAACAAATTTTCAAGCTCATATCTTCCAACTTGCGCTGCATAAAGTAGATTCAGTGCTAAGGACACAGAGGCTGGGGTGCACTCACATTCAAATATCTCAACATTCAAGGCTACTCTGACTTTTGAGAGAAAATACCCTCTTCCATTCATTGATACTATCATCTGAGCTTGCCTTCAGATTGATCCACAATTCACCGGTCTTTATTTTTTGACAAGGAGCTCCGACCAGTCATGAGTCCCAAAGACAAAAAGTAGGTAGGCTTTCCCCAGATCAAGTTGTTTCGAGGCTTTACTGTCATGACCTAGTCTCAAGAGCCCTTCTCAATAACACCAGTCTTCATTCTGGCTAACAAATTTATTTGGCCCCAAAAATTTCCGAATTGCCTCAGTTCGTTAAATCAGTCGGAGCTTATCTTAGCGGCTAATTTTCCGTTTCGCTCCATTTCTTAAACTTTTTCTCTGTGTAGTATCAATACCGACCAGTAAATACACCTGCCTATCGTCTCAAAACCGAGTTAAGATCAGATCTTGTCAGTAATTCTTTAGGTTTAAAATCAATTCGACTCTAATCCACCACGACCACCCCAAATTCCGTCTCATTTCCTGTCATTTCAAATATGTATAAACTAAACTGCCTCTTGCTACGTCACAGCCCTACCCTAATCTATTCTATTGATTAGTGGTAGTTTCTAGCTCGATCGGTACCTGCTGAAAATATCGAGAATATGACTTTGAAATGTCTTTTTACGACAGATACAAGGTCTATGACAGACAACTTCACAAGGGCGTCAAACCTCACGCATGAACGGTCTGAGGTAGAGTTATCTATGCTTGGGTGAGGTGTCCAGTTCAGGAAGTGGCTGCCAAGGAGCATCTGTTTGGAGCATATCTGTAGAACTGGCGTAATCACGTGTAATTCTAGTTTGTTTATGTAATCATATAGATACATGTTCGAATTAGGTCCTGGTCAACGATGTCTAGCCTAATTGTGCTATGTTGCAGGCTACTGTTCCAATTATTCATGGGGTCATCATCAGGGTTGTGAGTAGTTTCGGTTTTGGTGTGGGTTTTTAGATTGATACCTAAGCGTGTCGCATGGTAGTCAGACATGCGACTCGAGTAGCATATGCACGGTAAACCTCAACTCCAAAATGATGCTACGAATCAAGTTTTATATGCTACGTCCTGTATGGCTAGCGTGGTTGGAATATGGGAAATTTACCTGTAGATAGATAAATACGTTGTAGCCCTCTGATAGTTGGGACAAGTCTTCTACAATATTATATCGGAATCAAATCTAGCCTCTCATTAAGCAATCTCATGAATTATTTCCAATGTCGGTGATAACAGACATACATATAAAATATCGACAACAAGTTTTGAAGTCGATAAATACAGCATCGCCATCTCCTAAGAAAGAAAGAATAGACATCATTCACATACACTGACATCAGACCCCTTGATCAGATCCAATCGTTACCTGTGATACCAACACTGATCAGCGGTTAACCTCATAGTTAGCCACAGAGCAGCCAGGCTATTTCAGAAGAGACAAAAGGAGTGAAATCCTTACGTTTAATCGTGCCGCATATTACGACTTTTTGTGCTAGAGGAAGCCAGTTTTGATTGCCACCGCAGGTTAACTCCTACCATCCAGGGATCAAATCAAAGCTTCTAAGAGCTTGCGAAAATCAGTTTCCGTTGTACGTCGCCCACAACTGATCTTTACAAGCTGCGTCTATCACGCAGAATAAAAACCTTCACAAGAGACATTCAAGATACAGACTCCGACCAACCTAATTTCAAAAAGGAAACATAAGTCATAAATATTAAGACCTTCAATTTCTTATTTTGCGAAAACAATATTTTGCCATCGAAACAAATTATCATTGGAAAAATGCTCATTCCAGACTAGTATAAAGGCAGAGTGGATGAATCTACATTCCATAGACGACTTAATCTCGAAGATGAAAAAGATAAAACCAAAGAAAGGATTAGTAGATTTATGGTGTTTCAAAAGCTTTTCTACCAAGCGGAAAGACTAACAGATAATAGACTCTTTGAAAACTTTCAAGATGACTTCGAAGGATGGACGAAAGAAGATTTTGCACTTGCAGATTCTGGAATAAGACGGATGATTCGAGATTTTCTTAACGATCGTGGTATCTCCACCCCAAGGGGCAGGAGCCATATTTCAGTATACTTAGCAAACCTTGTCATAGCGAATGTTATACCAGAATGGCCCGAAGGCGAGCTCGAAAAACAAATGAGAGAGTCAAAAGATTTCGATTCGTACCTTCAACCTGTGAACTCCTCCGTTCCAGCTGTAAAGCAAGAGAACCTTAATTTCAAGGTGAAAGACGTCGACAAATATGATCAAGAAAAACCTTATACGGAAAATAATTACCGGCAAACTTTTGATAAGAGTAATGAGTCATATCTTGCTTCCAATAATCTAGGAGGCTGGGCATGAGTGATTTCCGACATGAAGAAAATTTACGATGATAGTAAGAGATATAATGGAGATGAATATGATCCCCTTGACTTAAAACTCAGAACCTTTTATGAGAGGTGTAATATCATGGGTATCCACCCCACACAAAAGCAAAAAGTCTTCGAGGTCTTGCTTTTGGGAAAAGCCAGTGAATTTTATTACACTAATCTCGCTCCAAATCAATCAATCATCTCCCCTCGAACATTTACCTATGAAGAGATGATACAAATGTTGAAGAGTCATTTCCAAACAGATGAGCGCCGTCAAAACTACCTTTTGGAATGGGAAAGAAAAAGGTTTCTTTGTTACGGAAATGGAGAACCCTGGGAAAACCAAACGAGAAGTCCTTGAGTTATTGTTCACTCGTCTTCAGAAACTTGCTCAGTGTCTTGGCGACGGTTACTACAACAAAGACAACGTCATGAGAAACAAATTACTGAACGCCTGTGGAGACGTCCCTGAGTGCAACCTAGCTAATTTCAAGCCAGCATCATCTTTTGAAGGCTTATGTGCTGATCTAAGATCTTCTATCAGTACAGCAATGAGAACTCAACAAGCACGACAGTACAATGCCGAAAATGATGACCAATTTTGGACTGATAGAGTATACGTAAGGCGAGGCAAGAGTATTGGTCGAGGGAGGAATCCACAAAAGTTTTCTGCTGGAGCTTCACAATCGCGATTCCAACCTCCTGACCAGCGACTCAATTCTTCATTTTCCCGACGATCAAATGGCATAAAGAAATGCTTTATCTGCAAGAAAGTAGGTTGCTGGTCTACCAACCATTCAGACGAGGAAAGAAGGCAGTCATACAACTCATTTAGTGTTACGGTTTGACCATTATTTTAGCTTAGGAGGAAACCTAAGCGTTTAATTAGGAATAATTACGATAAGACTGAAAGAGGAAGGATGGGCAAATAGAGATGAAATAGCACTACTAGCCAGGAGGTCGAAGCAACATCATAGCGTAATGGCTCCTGATAATACTTGGCTCAGTAGCAAGTATTAGGCCTAGGGGGAAGTTATCAGTCAGCAGATTCACGAAGCGGACCAAACGTTATAAGTACCTGTTAGTAGTAGCTAGAGATTTCTTTCCTCTTCATATAGCTTAATAAATCGATTTATTCATTACCAACTCGGTTTCCGTCACATTTAGGCAGCATATCCAACAAACTCAAAATCGCCATTACTCAAAGGAAGAGCATCAATCTTTTCTGACACATTGGGAAGGAATATCTGAATTCGAAAGCGATCTAGAAGAAGCCGAGCAGCTACTAATGGAGATGCAGCTTGAATATGACAGTAATGTCGAATTTGATACAAAAACTGGTGAAGCTTTTATCTCAGAATTAAGCCACAATGAAGATGCCCAAGAAACTGTCGGATATCTGGTCAATCAAGCCGCTATGCACCCTATTACAAAATGCGATGTCTTTAATAACAATTGTTTTGAGTCAATTTTTGATGACAATAACTTGTGTGACGAAGCAGAAAACCGCATATTTACCTTCTCAGATCGATACTCGGAGAAGGTATTTAAAGGCATTATGCCCGATACAGGCGCTGCAGGAACATCAACAGCGGGAGAACCACAATTTCGTGCACTACAACTACTAGACCCATCAATCACTCTCGACAAGTCAAGCGCGGGCCATCATCGCATACGCTTTGGTAAAGGCGAGACTGTATCACTTGGAACTGCACGAGTTGATACCCCTACAGGAATAATTGAGTTCCAAATACTCCCCACTAACACTCCTTTTTTATTATGTATCAAGGACATGGATAACCTAAATGTCAAATTGGATAATATACAGAATATTTTAGTCAAGGGTAATGGAGAAACAGTTCCTATAGTGCGAAAGTGGGGTCATCCCTGGATGCTCTTACATCATCCAGCTGGGAAAACATTAGCATGGTGCCACCTCACCGAGCCTCAATTACGCCGCTTACATCGACGCTTTGGCCACCCTTCAGCCCGAAGATTAATTGAAATCCTTAGAAAAGCCGGGCACGGAGCTTTTCGACCTCAACTTGTTAAGCATTTGACACAAATATGTCATTATTGTCAAATGAATGCTAAAGCCCCCGGTCGTTTCAAGTTTACACTAAAAGACGAAATTGAATTCAATTATGAAATTGTTATTGATATCATGTACATTGGTGGTAAACCAGTATTGCATGTCATCGACACAGCAACAGGTTTTCAAGCTGCGCAGTTCTTCAAGGACATTTCCACAAAATCGGTCCGGAAATCTTTATGCATGTGTTGGATCAATGTGTATCTTGGACCTCCCGACTTCATTGTCCACGATTCTGGAACCCAATTTACATCTTCTGAATTCATGCAAAATGCAAAAAATCATGTCCATAGAAGTTA